AAGCACCTTTCTCAGAAAGAGACCATTCCCATCCCATAGGCAATGCTAATGCTACCCTGCAGGGCCCAGGCCTGCAGGCTTTGACTCCTAAACCTGCAGGCAACCTCAGGAACCTAGGGCCTTCTGCCCTAACCCCACCTGGTCTCAAGCATCTGGAAGCTCGGAGTCTTGTGACGTTCTAGGGGCCTAGCAAATTAGCTGAGAGGCTCCAACTTCACACGTGCATTAAAACCGACCTCTGACCTTTCTTTCGAGAACCATAATAGAATGTGGAAATGGCGTCAACACACACCCACACTGCTGCTCACTACCCTGCCCGGCAGGCTTTGCCACAATTAAAGCAGTAGGGCAAGGACAATTCTGGGTTGCGGGGACATTCTATGATGGCCAGCGTGCACACAAGAAGGAGGACTGGCAGGCCAGCCTTGGCCAAGGATGGCCCCTTGGCTTGCAGAGGACCAAAAAGAGAAAAGAGGGACAAGCAGGCAGGGTCACAGAAGGGAAGGGGGCTCTCACCCATCTCCCACGTCGTCGGCCTTTTCATTTTCTTCCTAAAGACTTGAGTTTTTAGCTCCTCTCCCTACTTCCAGGACCCCCGTCCAGATGTCCCCAGGGCCCTGGCAGCGAGGGTACATCTCTGACAGAGATCCTCTAGGTCCTTATAGGAAATGTGGGTTTTGGGTCTCAGTATCCCAGTCTGGGGGAGGCCTTGAAAAGGGTTCTGAGGACAAGCTGGTAACAGAGGTGAGCAGCTCATCCTGGGCTCAGTGAGGGGAGTCCACCATCACCCTGGCAACAGCTTCCACCACCAATCATCAACGACAAATGGTTGGACAAGGGGAGCAAAGGAGAGACAAGAAGAAAGTTCCTGTTGGGCGTGGTAGCACACTTTCGTCCCAGTGCTCAGAGATCACACTGGTCTACATAACAAGACCTTACCTCAATAAATACATAAATAATTTTTTTAAAGAAAAAAAAAAGAATGCAGTAAACCAAGCAGGGTTGGGGCATTGTGAAATGACAGTCAGTTGAGGTCCCACAGCCAAGGCTTGTGAACTTGATACAGATATTAACAGTCGCTGCCCTGGTTCCTGCTCACTGCTCACTGGTGGCTGCCCTTCTCCCATTGATTCTCCCCACTAGCCTCTTAAGATTATATTATTTCAGCCGGGCGGTGGTGGCGCACGCCTTTAATCCCAGAACTCGGGAGGCAGAGGCAGGCGGATCTCTGTGAGTTTGAGACCAGCCTGGTCTACACAGCTAGTTCCAGGACAGGCTCCAAAACCACAGAGAAACTCTGTCTCGAAAAACAAAAAAAAAAACAAAAAAAAAAAAAAAAGATTATATTATTTCAGTAGGGGAAATCAAGGCAAGTTTATCTCAAAAGAGAGGGTCTGATCTAGAGACCAAAATGGAGCATACAAGGCTCACACCGACACCCAGCATGCCTCCAAACTGTGTCCTCCAAGAGGCTAAGAGCTGGTGGTGTCTATCTACACTCAAGCAGAGGGGAGAAGGAGACATCGGAAGCTGAAGGGTTCACTTGATTTACTTGAGAGTCAGTTTTACTTTGTCACTTTGGGATCAGTCTCTTCTGGGGACATAGGTGTGGTGTGGAATCTGGGAGACTAGCCCCTAAGGTACCCATTTTAAAGTGGCCTTCTTCCCTTTTCAGGAGGTTAGCCTGACCTATCTTTCCAGGAGGAATGGTGTAATAAAAGTCGGGTACAGGGGGCACAGCAACCGAAGATCTCCCCCAGAACCTCCACACCAGGAGGGGTGCAGGCACCTGGCAGTGCCACATTCTACTGACAGCAGCAGCAGGCCTGGAAGCCTCACCCCTCCCTCCTGAGAAAGCTGTGCAGGTTGTTGGAAAGAGGGGGGACCCACACATGTAATGTTGCCTCCCACCAATAGGGAGAGCCACAGAGAGGTAGAGAGACCTACTCCAGGCCCAGACAGACGCGCGTCACCCACCATTAACCATAGCTAGACTGACGCATGCCCCGTCATGGGCACTGCTTCCCATTTGTTCGCTCGGGAAGAGAAGCACGTATATACTCTGACAGGCATTATTTTGTTGGGGGTACAAGCCCTTCAGGGCCCCTCACTGCTCCTCACCCATGCCAAAGTAAGGAAGGCACCAAACCTACCCATCACTAGAGCAGAGCTGTGTTAAGAGGTGCAGGCAGGCAGGTGGGCAGTTCAGATGGGCACTCCATGTAGCACTGAACCAGAACTCCACTGAGCAGGGGAGCATGAAAACCAGGGGTACCACAGGGCAGGGTACAGGGACCCAACAGAAAGGACAAAAGGGCAGGCAAGTCAGGGTGGGCACAGATTGATGACAGGATAAATAAGGAGGTGAGAAGAGAGAGAGAGAGACCCTAAGACCCAAAACTGGAGTGTGGGGGCAACAAAGAGGGACAGAAAATACATAACTACATCAAGGTTGTTAGCAGCCAGGACTCTCTGCCAGCAGCACTGGCTGGCCTGACTGCTGGGGTGGGCGTAAACGGGAACAGAAGGAAGCAGGTAAAAGGGAGCATGTGCTGTTCCAGGACTCCATCCTCCTAGACACGAGAGTATACGCACACCCATGTATGACACATGTATCTGAAACCCCGATTCAGATCCAGGCGGGCAACAGAGGCCCCTCTTCCTAAAACCAAAGTCGCGTCCTCCCTCCAGTGGCAACTCCTCTGCCCTTTATAATCTAACGGCTCAGTTCATTTCACCCGATGGCAGACGGCCACACTGCCAGAGAGATAACGGCCACCAGATCCTAAGCCCGCATTTGATTAAACCAAGCAGTTTGAAAAGCTGGGCCCCTTCCCACAGCTCCACACCCCGAAGGGTATTCTTAATCACTGAGGGTCCTCCCCACAGAAGGCTTGTTCCATGTCATCCCGGTACCATGGGACTGACAGTCCCACTTTCCAGCTTGAGAATCCACCTGTATCAGCATCCTCTGAGGCTGGGCACTCTGACCTGGGAGAAGGTTCAAGATACCACCCAGCCCTGAGCAACCCCACTGGAGCCCTGGAACCCCAGCGGCAGCGGCAGCCTTTTATGTCATTTAACAAAAGCCCTAACTCGGAACCACGCAGTCACTAGGAGGGGTCCACGAGAGTCCCCTTCCTCCTGCAAGGATCAATAAAACCTACATCCACGGGACCAGGGCAGCTGAAGGGCGCTGCCTGTCATGGCAAATCTGCTTCGATGTCACACGTTCGTCACCCCCCACTAGACCCCAAAGCCCCGTCCCTCCCCCTGCTTCATCCCCTAATTATGGTTTGTAAGACACGTCCCGAACCCTCGAATTAACTCCAACCACATCAAAAGGAGAAGAGTGTCCAGCTGGAAATGATATGTGGCTGTAGTCACACCCTCCTCAACATCTTCTGGGGACGGGCGGGGGGGGGGGGGACAGGTGCACCCTTGCTCAGGGTTTTACATTGTCCTAGGGGAGACTCAGGAAGGCCCAGCAGCCATGGCAAGCACGCTGCAGGGAAGGGGAGAGAGGTCAGAAGAGGCAGAAAGAGACGACTACTTAAACCTTCACTTGAAGAGCTGGGAAAGAAATAGCTAGGAAAGGGGGAAAAAAACTGTGGCTTGCCTTTGAGGAAAAAAAGAACAATAAAAAATGCTTTTGCTCTTTTTAGACGCCGTAGTTCCAATCCAGTTTCATCGCAGCACATGAAAGACAATAACACACCCCACCAACCCTTGAACTTCCCTGCGCTCGTGAAAACCCAGACAGCTGACAGAGGACACGTCTGTGCGGCACCTGTAATTTGCCTACTGATCACCCGCCTGAGCACGGCCAGGCTGTGTGAGGAGAGCAACGGATGGCAGCGAGGACAGGAGACAGACTCGGAGCAGGGCTCCATCCGAGTTTGTTTTTTCCTCATCTGGGAGAACCTGCCAGCTGAAGCAGGCAGGTTCTGTGGCAGAACCAGGGGCTCCTACCCAAGGGCAGAACCACTCTTATGACGCAAACTAGCCGGACCAGACCTTTCCTCTCATGCCCAAACCTGGGCCAGGACACTCATGAAGGAGTCCAGGGGACAGGTGGCTCCTCAAAGCTGAGGACAGAAAACAGAAGCACGGTCCTTGTCATGCCCCAAAGGGGTGTCTGGACAATGGCATATGGTTGGGGCATGGTGTCAAGAAACAGATGTTGTCCTAACGGGGCACATACAGAATACCCACTTCCTATCTAGACACAACTGCCCGACTTTGCCAGCTCCTGGGGAAGGTGAGGAGACTGGTAGAACCTGGAAATGCTATTACCCTGTTAGGAGCAGGAGCCGACAGGGTCAGCATCAGGGGCAGGCAGGGGTCCTCCCCATCATTCACCTTCTGGCCCAACCCCAGCACCTTCTCCTTATTGAGCTCTTCAGAAACGCCCCCTCAAATGGGCGGCCAAGAACAGGTGACATTGACCACAGCAAGAAGGTGCTGGTATCTTCTGCATCCAGCACCCCCCCCCCCCCACCCAACCAAAGGAAAAGGCCCAAGAAGACGAAGTGTGGATGTCTGACCCCACGTCTGACTCTAAAGCGCTAGGTTCCCACCCGGGATAGAACACAGGGCAGATGCGTTGTTTTAAGTCTAGCGGACAGGGGTCTCTGGCCATTCTCTCAACCACCCCTAAGATCCTCTATTACTAAGACAGTGGCTGGAGTATCAGCTGACAGACTCGAACCCCTCGCCCCATCCCTGGGATTGGAGATTTTTTTTGCTCTGTCCCCTTGGGGGTGGGGGCAGTCTGTGGGAAGCAGGGGCACCGCAAGGAAGTTTCGCAACGCAGCCAGAAGCTCCGGGACCCTGGCTGCTAGCCCACGGGGTTTGTAGCCGCCACCCTCAGTTGCAGCATGCCACGGGACCCAGAACCCCCTCCCTGACACCCGGCGCGAGGAGGGGCAGACGCTGGCTGAGGGGCGCAGGAGAGCGCGGGGCTCCGCGGGGTCCCGCGGCTGGCCAAGGCCACTTACGTGTGCTGCTGGGGGAAGCTGTAGGCAGAGGCGCCGGGGGCGGTGAGCAGTGGTAAAAGCAGCAGCGGCGGCAGCAATAGCAAGAGCGGGCGTGCGGGCCCGGACGCTGGGTCCCGGGGGTCAGGGAAGGGCCGGGGGCCGCGACCGGGCCAGGGGCGCGCGGTCCGCACCGGGCCGGGCCAAGAAGCGCCGCAGGTCCGAGCCGGCACCGCCATGTTTCCATTCAAGATGCGGCGCCGCGGGGAGGGGGGGGGGGGGACGGCGGCGGCGGCGGCGGGCTGGGGGGGGGGGGCGCGGGCGGCGGGCTGCGGGAGGCAAGCTGGCCTCTTTTCCACCTCCTTCTTCCGCGTGGGGCCTCCGGGGCTGCACTGGCCGCAGCGCCTCTGCGGGCTGCGCGCTACGATCTCCCCGCCGCGCTGGCTCCAAGCGCTTTGAGTGCCTGGCCCGGGACCTGCGCTCAAATAGCGGCAGCCGCCAACCTGCCGGCGCCGCCCTCCCCTGTCGCTCCTTCCCTCCCTCCCTCTCTCTCCTCGGCCGGCCCGCCTCCGCGCGCCCCCGCCGCGGCCACGCGCCCGCCTGTGCCCGCGCGCCCCTCGTCCCCGTTCACCCCCGAGCCTGCCCTATTGGCTCGTGCAACCGATCTGAGTCCGTGCCCGCGAGTCCTATGTCCCAGCCTCTGTCCGAGCGCCAGTGTATGTCCCCACCTCCACCCCCCAATTTAGACCTGGGAACATCCCTCTGCCCTGTGAGTGAGAATTCTCCTAGGCGGTTGCACATCTGACTCTTATGGGGCTCGACCTTCAACAGGCTTAAGGCCTGGAGTCACAGGTTTAATGGTGAAATGGAAGGCTTCGGCAGACCAGAGAGGAGGGTGGCAGTGCTGTCCCACCCACGGTAGTTCCAGCTACCTCAAGATTTCTTCCTGCGGGGAATAGGGGGGCTTGCACTTCCAGCCCTTGGTAGAAAGAAAGAAAGAGAAAGAGAGAGAGAGAGAGAGAGAGAGAGAGAGAGAGGATTTTGATTCTAGCTCCTTGGGAGTTCGGGTGGTTGGAGACCTCCGTTTTTGCTTTGCTCCTCTTTACCGCCAAGGCAACGTGTGCAGGGGAGCCCAAGCCTCAGCTCCCTGGACTTGCACAGCCTCTAGCCGAGGGTCAGGGAGCAAACCCCAGCACAATCCATTCGTTTCTATCCTAGTGACCCCTGGCAGTTCCCTGCTATAGTTACAAGGATAAGGCTTGTGTAACTTTCAGCTTGTGGGCCACCTTCTCAGAATACACCTTTTTCTTAGGAATACACTCTAGGTCCCCAGTGTCATTGCCAGGAAAAGATGAAAAGGGGGTAAAGGGCCTGGTAGTGGAAGCCCTCACAGTTGTGACTGCTGAAGTTGGCCCTCGAGTTCCACATTGTCCCCCTCCCCCACTGATGAGAATGCTCCCTGACAGCCTGGCACGGGGATGAGCCCCTCTAGCAGTAGCTGCTCACAGATTCTGCCAAACATGAAGCTAAGGGGTTCTTAATTGCTGGGTTCAGTTCAGAGATGCCCAGGGACTCTTGTCTCACGCCTGGGTAGGTCACCTATCATCCACGTGTAGGAGAGGTTTCAGAGAGAGGAGAGAACAGTGGCCTCTGGGCTGCGGGCTACAGAGGCTGTAGAGACGCAGGACAACCTTTCCTTGATTTTCAGCTCCGCTGTGGGCTTCCCATCCTTGCCCCACTCCTATCAGGATGTAACAAAGGAATGGCTTCCTCTTTTCTGAGTGACATTTCAGGGCCAGGTTGGCAATATACTGAAAATCAGGAGACCCCATCAATGATATCAAAGGGGACCAGAGGTCCTGGGGTGCCACTAGTTCCTGGGACCTGACAGACAGGAAAGGAAGGGCCTAGTGAACTATGGGAGGCTGCATCAGGCCAGTTCTATAAGGAGACACATGCAGGGGCCTCCCTGAGCCAGATGTGTGACTTAGTCAAATACCCACTGCTCCCTGTCCCTGGCTTTGGACAGGGCAGTCCCACCACCAAGTTGAATAAAGACAGAGTCCTGCACTGGAGTCAGTCAGCCTGGGCTAAGCATCCCCCTCCTAGCCTGCTGACTCCTGTCTCTAACATCTGTATCCCTCACATGCAGGGAGGACTGGCCTGAGATGCCTTCCCCTGCTCATTGTCTGGACAAATAACTCTTCAGCCCAAGGGATGTAATCCCTTTTTGGTTTCTTCTAAGGGGTGGCACTTTCCCAAGGCAGACTCTGCAATGTCCCGGCACATGTCAGGGACAGCCCGCTTGACCTTTGACACAAAGATGGCAGTGCTGTCCTCGGAGAGAACCCAGGCCATCAAGCACCTGGGGCCAGCCAGTTCGGCAGGGAGCGCTGACAGTTGGGTATTTCAGTCTCAGCCTCCGCAGATGTGCACCTAATTGAGGCCGCTGGCGCCGAGGGAAAGGCGGGAGATTTTGGTTGACAGGCCGTTAAAGGAAGACAAATAAGGAGGGGAGGTAATTAAGAGTAAATGGGTAGTAAGAGTTTACACATTCCGACTTGGGAGACTTACAATATCCTCAGCCTCCCGGCAGCAGGTTCCAGCCACAGGTTAAGATCTGGGGAGGAGCAATTGTGGCTTACCAGAGAATAAGATGTCCACAGCAGGCAGATGGGTTCAGCAGGAAAAGCCTAGCCCCACCCATCTGACCAAGGTGACTGTCTTGGAAGGTGTTGGGTGGCAGGGGCATGTAACATTGCAGCCAGCAGAAGGAAACCAATTTTTGCCAGGGACCTGGCAGGAGCTGTTTCTATGCCTTACAGGAGGTCAGATCAGTAGCCAGAGAGATTGACGGAGCTTTATGGAGAACCTACTATGTGCCAAAGAGAACCCACTATGTACCAAGGAGGCCCTATGCTCAACCAAACCACCAAAGGAAGGGGAAGTCAAGCAGGAATATTTACTATGCCAGGGCAGCAAGATTTCTACCCCAAACTACCCCACCTTCAACAACCCAACTTTCCCCTCAAGCCTACAGGCTGTCCAGCAACCCTTTGAGTGAAAACCCCTGCCCTGAGGCCTTAGTTTCTTCTCCCTGGGGGCATACTCTTGCACCTTTACCATTTGGGCACAGGATATTCAAGAGACCATCAAACTACTTATGCCAGGGAATACTAGCACAGCCCCTCCACAATCGGATGGGCCTCCCCCCATTTCTCCTGCTTCCTCTTCAGCCACACACAAGTAATGGCTTCTGCCTGGGGGTCTGAAAGACGTCCACACTCCCTCCTTTCATCAGGTTGGCACCTAAAGCTCTCCAGTCCTTCTCACACTCTCCAGGTATTATATAGGTTGTGGCCATTAGAAAGAGCAAAGAAATCTTGGCATAAAGAAGCCAACAGGGGGGCGGTTAAGGAACCCGAGAGTTATGCCCAGGAAGTGTAGCCTGATCTGGAAGTGAGGTGGATCAACTTTGGCAACAGGCTTTATGGATTACGTAGGCAAATCTATTCCACCTGTGTCTTCATCCACCTAGTGCCAAAAGCCAAAGCATGTAATATTCTTAGGGCAGGACTCAGCGTTTAGCAAGTGCTTAGTGAGGAAAGACAGAGGAGTCACACATCCCCTAGGAAAGGCAGACCCTACGCTGAAGCAAGTGGGAGCTTCCTGGAAAAGGAGGAAAGATTCCAGCTCAGCCTTGCAAGACTAGCAGGGGTGTGCTCCCGCAAATGCCCTAGTCTAAGCATGGTGCAGATGAACTGTAACCTCCATATGTAACCAGAAGAGGGCTCCACCTCTGACCGTATAGAGAATACTTTCCAGCTGAGACTGGATCATCTGAGGCTTGAAGGATGGATTTGAGCCCAGGAGTTCAGGGCCAACCTGGACAACATTGTAAGATCCTGTACCAAAAAATAAATAAATTTGATTAAAACCACGAACAAAAAAAGTCTTTAAATCTCCTTAGTGAAATTGCTAACATTCACTGTGATAGAGGGAGGTGGAGTTTAAGCCTTTCACCTGTAAAATCATGGGCTCAGACTGGCAGAACCTCCAGTATCTTCTTAGACTTAAGGGGAAACTGAGGTCCATAGATGGGACAAAACTTACCTAAAGACACTAATATGTTAGTGAAGGTCTGGACATGGGGTTTTGACTCTGGAGATGGTGTTATTATTCCAGATCTGTCTCCCACGATGAAGATGGAGGCTGGTCATAGCCTCAGACCTGACTTTGACATGCTCATCCTGGCCTCTGGAAGCAGGGAAAGCTACAGTCCTGATCTGGGGCCCACGGGAGAGCAAGAACTTTTTATATTGCAACAGTAGCTGCCTACTTAGATGGCCATTATCACAGGGGTCACTGAACTCAGATCACCTGCTCGAGTGAAGGACTCTGGTTAATTAGGTAAATCTGAGCTTCTAGAAGAGGCTTGGTCCATGGTTCCTGGGAACTCCCTACTTAGTAGGGGAACGCGACACACAGGAAAGATGATAAATACCTCAAACATGCATGCTGATTTTTTTTAAAGCACATAATCAAACAGAACATAGAATTACTGTGCTCTACGAGACCCAGGCAGTCAGGAAAGGGGAGGACCCTGGGAGTGGCACAAAAGGGCAGACAAGAACTTGAGTGTCTGTGTGATGGAGGACAAAGGAGCATCACTGGCAGACAGGCTGCATAAAGGCCTGAGGTAGGAGCGAGCTGGGCCCTTTCTCTGGGGAAAGTGTGCATGAGTAACCAAGAATGAGCTCCCAGCAGAGGCAGGAAGATGGACAGTGTGGTCTCCGGGACAGCATGAGGTGCGTATGATAAGATGTCAAGGCAGGCTGTTTATCGTTGTACCCAGGGCTCCAGGACCCTGGGTAACCTCATCCATAAAGAAGGAAAGTAAAAATATGTCAATCACCCTGTGAGCTTAGGGAAGCAGTCTACACTGCTTCTGTTGCTTGTAACAGGCTTCCTTCTAGCTCAGGTTCTGTACAGACAGACGTGGTTACACTGCCACCTGTGTAGTCCTACAGCTGGTGTTCCTCGGTGAGATCTGGACCAACCTGCTCATGTTACAGATGTGGAAACTGAGGCTCGGGAAAAGGGGGGCTCATCCAGGGGCTCAATAAACAGAAAGATCCAAGGCCCGGACTAGATGTGAATGTGGCTCAGTGATATAGTGTTTCTCTGCCTGTCAAACACAAAGCCCTGGGTTCAAACCCCCTCCACCACAGAGAGAGACAAAGACAGACAGACACACACACAGAGACAGAGACAGAGAGAGACAGACACACACACACACACACACACACACACACAGAGAGAGAGAGAGAGAGAGAGAGAGAGAGAGAGAGAGAGCGCCCAGGCTGGTGTTGGGGTTCTGTCCTCTATGCCTCCTTCCCACTGCTGTGGCAGAAATGCCCAGATGCTGGTCTTGCTCGCTTTCCTCAGACCTTCATCCCACTCTGGCAGGAGAAAATGAGGACAAATAAAAGAGAGAAATTGTCCCCTCAGCAGAGCATTAG